GCTAGGAGAATCTGTTCGGTCGGTACGTGCTTGTGGCAAGGACGTTGAAGTCACAGAGAGTTTTACATACCTTGGTAGTGCAGTTCATAACTCTGGGCTGTTAGACCAGGAAGTCAGCAGACGAATTGGCCTGACAGCAGGGATCATGAACTCTCTCGGCAAGAGTATTTGGAGATACTGGTACCTGTGCAGAAGGACCAAGCTACGAGTTTTTTCAAGGACCTGATAATGCCAGTTTTGCTCTACGGTAGTGAAACCTGGACATTACCAAATGCCCTGGAGTCTCGTCTTGATGCCTTTTGTAAAAGGTCCTTGCACCGGATCATGGGGTACTGCTGGCAGGACCACGTGTCTAACCAACGGTTATACCCTCGGTGGAGGAGGCCTGTGGGACGACCTAGGAGGTCGTGGCTTGGGCGGATCGATCAAACCAGTCGGGAGGAGCTCGAGATAGGCCGACTCCTTGCCTGGCGGCTTGCCATGAGGGATCCCAAAAGGTGGAAACAAAAGGTGGACGTGGCTATGTGCCCTCGTCGGCGTTAGCTCCTAATGATGATGATGATGATGTATACATATACATATATATAATATATATATATATATTATATATATATATATGTGTGTGTGTGTGTGTGTTGTGTGTGTGTGTGTGTGTGTGTGTTACATGTATTTATATATATATATATATATACATATATCATACATACATATTTACACACACATGTATATATATATATATATATATATATATATATATATATATACATATATATATATATATACTATATATACATATACATACATACATATTTACACAACCATGTAATATATATATATCATCATCATCATGGGGCTGAGCCGACGGGGGCGCATAGCCGCTCCACCCTTCGCTTCCTACGAGGATCCCTCATGGCTAGGCGCCAGGCAGGGACTCGCCCATCTCTAGTTCTTCACGGCAGGTTTGGTCGATCTGCCTAAGCCATGAATTCCTCGGTCGTCCCAAAGGCCTCCCACCCAGGGTTGTCTCGAATAGAGACGACCTGATGGGCAGGATCATCTGAGGAAAGCGAGCCAGGTGGCCATATAGCTGAGTTGGCGATCACGGATTGTGCAGATAACAGTGGCTTGTGCGGTCTCAAGGTGCAACCGTTATGTTGGACACATGGTCCCAACAGTAACCGCCGTGTGATCTGGGNATATATATATATATATAATTATATATATATTATATATATATATATATATATATATATATATATATATATATATATATATATATATATGTATGTATATAACAGTAATGAGTATAACAGTTGTAATAGAAGAGTAAGAAGAAAAATCAAGGAAGTCAAGGAAATGTGGATAAACGATCAGTGCAAAGAAATTGAACAGAGTATAAAATTGAACAACAGCAAAAATGCATTCAACATGGTTAAGATTCTCACACAGAAATGGCAACCTAAAACCAAAGTAATTGAAAACATGGACAGGAATTTGCTAACAACTATTGATGACATCTTGACCAGATGGAAAGAATATTATGAAAAACTCTATAACCATGAAGTCCAAAAAGATCTGGAAATTCTCACTAGACTAACCAAAGAAGTACCACAACATCAATATGTTGAAGAACCTCCAATCCTAAAAGATGAAATAATTGCAGCCATTAAGAAATTAAAGAATAGCAAGTCACCAGGGACAGATAATATCACTGCAGAGCTTCTGAAAGCAGGTGGTGATCCAGTGATAGACATCCTACACAAAATTTGTAACATGATTATTGAATCAGGAGAATGGCCGGTCTGATGGACTGAATCAATAATGATCCCACTACCAAAAAAAGGAAATACTAAAAAATGTAAAAATAACAGAACAATTAGCCTTATTAACCACTCAAGCAAAGTATTACTCAATATTCTACTATCCAGAATGAAACCTACAGCTAGGGAAATTATAAACAAGCCACAAGCAGGATTCACTAAAGGACGTGGAACCGTGGAACAAATTGGTAATGTGAGAACTATAAACGAAAAATACATAGAGCACCAAAATTACCTTTATCACACATTTTTTTTTATTTCAAGAAGACTTTCGACCGTGTATGGCATGAGGCGTAATGGTTAACAATGCTGAAACATAATTTTAGACCCAGTATAGTGTCAGTACTGAAATCACTATATGAACACGCAAAAAGCACAGTATTGATAGGAGATAAATACAGTACATGGTTCAAATCAAATGTCGGCATAAGGCAAGGGTGCGTCTTATCACCCACACTCTTCAACATTTTCCTTGAACAAATCCTGATGGACACCTTGGATTCGTTTGACACGTTTAACAGTAGTGTGAAAATTGGGGGACAAACAATAACAAATTTACACTTTGCAGATGACATCAATCTTATTTGCAGCAATGAAGAAGATCTTTGACAATTAACTTTATTACTGGATGTAACAGCAAGGAAATATGGCATGGCAGTAAGCACAGAAAAGAGAAACCAATCCAAATAAAAGACGATGAACTTGAGATGGTGGATTCGTTTGAATATTTAGGCACCAAGATAACAGCAGACAGAAAATGTTCTGAAGAAATACGTAATTGGCTAGCAATGGCAACGTCTTCTCTAATAAATCTAAATAATATCTGGAAAAACTCTAACATTACAATCATAACTAAATACAGGCTTCTAAGGACGATAACACTATCAATAACATTATATGGATGCGAGACGTGGACACTGGATGCAGTTTCACAAAACAAAATCAACG